GCAGCGCTCCGGGCCCGGGGTGGGCTCCCCGCAGCCGGTGTGTCCGAGGAGGCGATGTGCCCCGAGAAGGGCTCTCCGGGCGGGCAGGGACTGGTTACACGGAGACCCACCGCAGCGAGCTACTCTCCGTGTCACCCCCGCAGCTCCAAAATCTTTCCCCAGTGGCAGCATTGGAACTTCACGGAGAGGCTGTATTAAACCTCTTCCCCCTCCCCCCCAATAGCTGGCAAGGTTTTACTCTCAGCCATGAAACCAACACTCATTCTCGAATCCCAGCACAAGTAGAGGAAAACTTCTAATACCGACAGAAAGGCATGCTGCTGTGCCATCACAGCTGCCTCAAACTTAATAAAGCAGAGTGATACAGAAACCAAAAAAGAAAAAAAAAAAAACCACAAGCAAATGGGATCTCCATTTCCTAAGTATCTGTTGTTCATCTTACGCAAGCGAATCGTATGACATTTGGTTGCTGTGGCAACATTACATTTATGTAGTGTCTTACACCCCAGAGAATCCCGAAGTGCTATGTATGCTCGGTGGCATTGTGCACCTCCTGGGCAGGGGTCTGCACAGGGGGAAGAAACACTGTCAGCTGGTACTGATGCCTTTTTTTTAAAAAAATAAAATAAAGTAGCTTTTGGCACAGGGGTAGGGGCTATCATTTTAACATCCACCCTCAAAGATATTTAAGTATCAACAGAGATGCAGGAAACATGCAGGAGAGGTTCTGGCCAAGGACACAAACTTAATTCAGAGATTCCCTCGAACGGACAGATCTTTTAGTCCAGATCTTTGTGTATTTATGGAAGCCATTCATTAGGCATGTTGTGTGTTTCCAATTTTTAACTTTTAGATAACCTTTAAAAATACAGGAATTGAGGGGAACAGAGACTTGGCACAGTCCCAGCAGACATTTGGTATCTTTAAAAAGAGAGAAAAGTTTTAAAAAGGAAGAAGGTCCAATCTTGCTATTGCCAGAGAGAGACAGGTTTTCCTCCTTTTCACACTAAAATAAACTATTTTTCCGTCCATCTCTGGAAAGGATTTTGTCTGTGACCTGTGGCAGGGTTTGGGAACTAACCTTGGTTATTCTCTTCAAATTTAGAACATTTATATGTTTCACCCTACAGAGACAGTCACACAAAATTCACACCCCTTACTGCAGGCTGGGTCCCAGATACTACCCTTCCACTTTCAGCAATCCTATCTACTAGATCATACTTTGCTGTAGCTTGGAACAGTACATGAAAAAAATTAGTTTTCAGTTTGTATAGGTGTATTTCACCTAGAGAAATCTGGATAACCACAGGGTAAGATACTGACCAGCTCAAACTCCTTTCAAGAATCACAGCAATTTAAGAACAGCAAAAGGAAGATTTCCCACCTCTGCTTGTTTAACATATTGCTGTAGCTAGCACATGTTCAAAGTCACTGACAGACGCTGTTTTGAACACACAGCAAAACATTATGCAAACTCTTTTAGCCTTCGTACGTGGGTGAGAAGAAGCTTCCAAATAAGAAGTTTACAAGGATTTCAATCTCTAAGTACTTTAGTTAGACTGTGTGACTACATAATCAGAAGCTCGATCTTGAGCAGTATACTTGCAGACTCCTGTCTTTCTAAGTACAAGGTTAAAAAATAATCAGCGTCGATCACCGGCAGCTATGCTGTACTACCAACGCTTCTCATACCTACTGTTCCAGCTGAGACCTGAAAGAAAATATACTGGAACCTGAGAACTCATCCCTTATGGCTGATCTCATTTAAACCCACATTTTCCTTCACACAAACACGAAAAATGCACATCAGCAAAAGCTACATTCCAGATTGCGACAAATGATAGAGAATTCAAAATATAAGGCGCTAAAGCATGAAATTAATTGCCATAAAAAAATTAAGATACAGTCTTTCTGGAGTAGCTATCATCTCTGTTGAAAAATTACACTGGCAAGTGGTTTCTCTTAACACAGCTAAATCTGGGGAAAAGAAAAAACCTACATACCATGTAATCTGATCTCAAGCATGAGATCTACTAAAACTGCTAGTGATTAGTGAGAAGAGAGATTTCTGTAAACCTTCACTGGCAATGGCTGCAAGAAAAAAAGCGGAGGAACTCAGCTAGAGAATACACAACTCTAGAGCATTTAGTTGCTATTTTTACCATGTTTTTCGTCAAGGTGCTCACGCAAATAAAAGCAAAACTTCTGTTTGAGGAACGTGCTTGTTTTCCCGTAACAAGCTTACAGAAAATTTGAGGCATATTCATTGCTTTAGTGCCCACTTTGAGCAAGACTATGAAGAGTCAGATTGTCATGATTATGTGCATCACCATAACCTTATCACAGCCTAAGAAATAATAAAATACCCTTTCAGTGTGGATACATATCCCACACAGTACAGGGTTTGCTGCTGTTTGGAGACATTTAGGTGATACACTGTTCTGCAGCAATTGCTATGTGACAGGCAGCTTGCAAGCATTACCTTCCCCAAGTTGATTTTAACAGGACAGATTAGAACAGATGTTAATTTTAATCTTCAAAGTTTCTTTGGAATTTATTTCCTTCAGAAACAAGAAACAAGGCACCCCCAGCTTTGTCACAGCTACTCTTTACACAGAACAGATCGTTGGCAGTTGCAGTTACTCCAACGGATTTGAGGTTTTTTATGGCAACTAAACATCGGATGTCATGAGTTGTATGTATTCAAACCTGTCAGAAGTATTAGGGAATATTCTGGGCTTTATCCTTTTAACTGATTTTTTATATACACGATTTTCTTGGGCATTATTTGCAGACATCATATAACAAGATTCAACTATTAGCAACAAAATTCATATCATCATGTGTATAACGAACTTATTTCGAAATACACTTTTTACAAAAACCGAACAGTTCCAGCTCCAATTACTGCACTTCAGGTTAGTAAAATGAGTTTTGTAGCGAGAAGTACTTTATCAGATGAGATACACCAGCAGACATCTGAGCCATGTGACTTCATAAAATGTCATGCCTCCTGTTTAACCATCACAGGCTCTCATCGCCACACTGAGTAACAGTAGAAATACAGGATATGCACAGGTACATATGTTTCTTAGGAAAGAACCAGAAAACTCATAAGCAACTGCCTTTACCCCCCTGTTCAGAAAAGATTCACGTAAACTGCTGTTACGTTAAACTCTTCTTAGCACAAGCTAAGATAGATACCACCTCGAAATCACCTCAGTTCTACAAAGCAACCAGATGGATCACCTTGTCCTTTCAAAGACTACCACGTCACCTACGCTCCTGCAATACCACAAACCATACTCAGCCATATTGTGTTGCTATCAGCAAAAGAAGTGCAGCTTACCAACATGACCAGAACATAATTAAAACTTTTGAAGCAGGAGCCAGTTACTTGATGCTAGATTGTAATGATTACATTTCAACAGCTCTGTAATTAAAAGTTAATGGTTCTCCCACAGGGCTGTACTGCTAAGCTGAATCAAAGTATCTGGTAGGCTTGCTTAGGTTCTAAGACAGCATTAGGTCAAGTCGCTGTGCACACAGTTATAAGCTGAAGAGCCTTTAGCAATCGCAGAATAAACACATCAAAAGTGTTCAATAACCATCATAATTCCTAGAGCACAGGTACACATGCAACCACCATCATGTGTGGTGTATCAACAGGAAGCTAAAAAAAAAAACCAGATCAAGTATGCAGCAACAGAGTTTTAGTCAGGCAAATATTAGCTTTTGTGAATTGGTTTCAATGAACTTCAACATGGGAAAACATTAGTAGGCATGTTAAGATGCAACACTGCTATGAAAGATTTAAAAAGATCAGGTACAAACCCAAGACACCGATCTCCAGGCCTTCCAATCCCGCTTTGATTCTACTGTAAGTATCTTCTCTCTCTGCAAAGTCTGCCACTATAACTTTTGTTTCCACTTTGTACTTCTCCTCTAGAAAAAAAAAAGTTTTTAAAAGCCTAAGTTTGAAACAGTTCAATTACAATTCAGATATTAAGAATGTATCAGTTATTATGGCTTGACAAAAGATTACTTTAAGCAGCTAAGATTACACTTTAGCATTTTCACCTCTGAAGTAGGAATACTGGAATTTTAACATAACCCGCACAACAAGTTTGTGCCATTAAGCTACTTCTGGTGAGAACATAAATTCTCAAATGATTCAGCACAATTTTGTGTGAAAACTGGCCACAAAAGTGGCAAAGATGGCAAGAAAACAAATTATACAGGTTTGCACAGAATCAAAAAAAAAATGCAGAAATCCGAACACACATGTACACAACAGCCTTCGAGTAGAACTTGACGAGAACACTTTTTTCCAAGTTAAGCCAAATGGTAAATGAGTTGCTTCAGTCCAAGCAAACCTTTATTGTCCTTCATTTCCATTCTCACTTCTGGTGCCATAAAACTTTTAAAATATTTAGTATTTTGAACATAAATCAAAAAGGGAACGTGTGGGTGAACAAGAGCAGCAGAACTTCAAGTTTAATCATGCCAAAACCATTCTGATATGCTGTCAGCTCCATCCTTAACAGAACAGGAAAAATACACGCAGCCAACTACATTTTGAAATAGAAGCAAGCAAGCAAGCATTAAAAATACTTCCTATAGAAAGCAATTCTGCTTCCATCGAGCTAAATTAATTACGTTGAATTAAGATCAGTACAATGTCCTCTCAGACTTCAAAGGAGCAAAACAGTAGCTTAACATTGCAGCACTTCTGTTTTGCTGCACCTGACTCCCACCTTAGCATTCCTCCAGGCACCTGCAAACAGCTGGAGAAGGGTTTTGTAGCACTTTGCCCCCACAGCCATTCATAAAAGCAGTGCCATGTTAAAGGAAAAGAATCATTCACAAAAAAGATCAGAAGCAGCCAGATTCCCATGATGCTCCTTCCCATTCAAGGGAAAGCTGTAACTCCCATGATCCTGCCGTCCATTCATGCAGAATCATGAATCTACTGAACTCACTGGCTTGCTGGCTGCCTCCCCGTCCCCCCCCCCCAATATCCCTAATGACAGATGAAATTATTTCTCCTCCTTTTCCCCCCTCCCCACCCCTCAACCTCTTCATCTCTCCCGAACAGCTGCATTGTTTGAAAATCCCCTGAGAGATGTTCCTATGTCAAATGACGACGTAAATAGCATTAAGCCCCTACTGCAGCAGCAGTCTTGTGATCGCGTCAGAAGAAAATCAAGTTCAACACTGGGAGGAGGGGGGTAGAAACGGTCTATTTTTGAACACAGCTGTTCCAATATTTAGCATACACGTTCAGGTTCTTACAGGACACTGAATTAAAGGCAGCATTAGAGGCAAAGCTCATACGTGCAAGTGGACTGAGCAGCCATAGCCCAAGGCACACGCTTCTACACACATGCCATTTTTAACTGTTTTGTGGGATCCGCAGCTGTCCTCGCTGCCACTCAGCTGCCTCCTGAAGTGCAAGTTGTTTAAAAGGACCCAAACACCGTCCTCACAAATTTGCTCAATCGGTACTGGCCCTTTTTATATGAAACACTCTTCATTAGAATTGTTACCAATCCATCTTCAAAGCCTTTTGAAATCGCTACAGGAATACGGAGAGGACAAAGTAAGGAAAAAAAAATATCTGAAGACCTAATACTATAAATAGAAAAACAATAATAAGTCCTCACACCACTGTTCATACAAGACCCTTCTTCAAGCCTTTAGAAAATTAGCAAAGGGCCATCACATTTACGAAAATGAAGCAATGCACCTATAAAAAGACACAACGCCCTTTGTGGACGGAGGGTGGGTAGTACAGTATATAGAACCATATGAAAAGACTGCCTACTGGTTTGGCCAGAGGGGACAGTCTTTGTGCAGTGGCTCACTGCAAACATGCAAAACAGTCTTGCTCCAACAGATGCCACCAGCTGACCAAACTCTCCCTCCTCATCATCTCACACCAACGTTCAGCTATCCTGTAACTTCTGCAAACCCCATGCTCCATCCCAGAACTTGCGATAGGTTGGATGATCCACTACATCAGAGAAAAGACTAGTAGATACACCTGATAAAATGGTTCCATGACAAACAACGATGCAAACAGCATTAAATCACTTCTGCATAAGCTTGTCCTATTAGTCAGAGCACAAGGTGCAGAGGACAACAGATGTCCTCTGCTCTGTATGAACAATGGAAAAGGGAATTTCCTTGACCTTAAGAAGGATTAAGATGTTCTCAAACAGATCGTCTAGAAGGCAGAGCAGCGCACATTGTTGTTCTATCTGCCAGAAAGACTCCAAGATGTAGTGTAACAGAGAAAGAAGCAAGCAGGCTACGTCCTAAGCCAGGATATCTAGCGGTGACTGGGCTCTTGCTGTCCAAGAAGAGAAAACTTGAAATTCCTTAGTGGAGTTTTCAGCTTGAAGACCACGAGGTACTCGGGAGCCATGGGGAACAAGAGAAGGGTATCAAGGCAGTTTTTGCAGTCAGCAGCCAGATGATTTGAAAGAGTTGCTATCTGCCAGCATAGCCAGTATTCCTGATGATACATTCAAAAGCAAATTCAATGTTTTGTGTTTGGAACTGGTACTTCAAATGCTTCTTAGTGGGGGGCTAAATACTACACCACCATGTTATCAGCAGTTGTGGGGAGTGAATATTACATCACCACGTTATCAATAGTTCTGCAGCAGTCAGCCACCACCTACTCATAAGGTCTCAAGGATGGGAAAGGAAGTTCAGCAGACCTCCGTCACATTTCTCAACTCTGACGCATCAGTGTTTTAACCATCTCATTTTCTAAAAATCTCAAGCAAGATCAGTATTGACCCTATAAATAAGTTTTAATCTAAACTTGCACATGTCTAGTTAATTTACAGGGCCTGTATGACCTTAGCCAAGACTTCCGGTAATTTAGCAAGAAACCAGCTACATACAACGGTATCCTGGTAGTCGAATAAAAGCAGACGATCTTCTGCAACCACACCATCATTTGAAAAAATAAGTTGTTGACCACAAACAAATCCTTGACAAAACACCTTCGCAGCTGTGAGAAGGCTGAATGAACCAATAGTCACAACAGTGATAAAAGCAGGATGGTACAAATGTTGTACAAGACAAAAAGGCAAAGTGAACTTTTGTAGAAGGTACTAGGATGGATTTTTTCAAAGGTCCAGATAGCAACCCAAGAACACTGTCAGACTGCAGAGGCATAGGCATGTGCCAGGCCAATACCTATAGAAAAAAAAACAGTTGTTGTTCAAACAAAGGCAGTATAAAAAAATACTTATTAGAACAAGACCGTAAATGAAAAAGTGCCACTTTTTGCACAGGTGGTAAAAACCTGACCTCCTGAGGCATGTTCCCATTCTACGCATTCCTGAACAATACAGGATGAGATGGTCTGGAAACAAATAGGTTATTTAACCACGCTCTTCACATACACACCATCAGAAATACTTTTAGGGATAATCCCTTGAAGAAAACACTACCTCTGATATCCTCTGAAGAGGACTCTAAACAGGGTCTCAAACTTGGTTAAAGTGCCACTGTTAAGCATAAAGACATTTAAGCAGTCATTCCAGGTCTGCCCAGAGGTTTATCTATACAAGTATTTGGTATTCTGTAGCAGATAAAGAGGAAAATGGTATAAAGAATAAGGAAAGTACATAGTAATGTTTCCTCAATTTATTATTCCAAGCTCCAGCAGTTTGCTGCTCAGAAACTTCCTGCGCTGGGTATGTCTACCCTGACTGCCTTCAGCCAATTCTTCCTACAAGCTCTTTGCCCAACCACTACAAATCCTTACACATTGTCAGCACCCAAATCACTTCACCGCTGCCACGTTTTTTGCTTTGGAACCTGCCAAGAGCAGAACTCATCAAATTTCAAATTTGTGTGCCTGGATCCATTCCGATTGCTCCATCTGATATTAGGTTTTTGAACTACCATCTCCTCTTCCTCAGGAGGAAGTCATACCTCAACAGTATTTTTCTCTTTCCCATTCCTGTCACTATGCATTGGTTGATACCGCACTGACATGTGGTTGCTAACATTCAAAAGGTAACTTACTTTCATTACTTTTCAATTTTGAGCTGGAGGACATTAAGGTGTTAACATCTGCTTGTTGTCATGTCCGTCTTTTCAGTGTCCTATGCATGTCAGACTTTTCCTACGCATCTTCTAGATTTTTCAGAATTTGAACCTGTCCCTTTCAGCTTTTAACAAATCTTCATTTATTGAATTTCACAAGCACAAGGAAGGTGGAATGGAGACAGCAAAAACAAAAGCCACAACTATCCTACACCTTCCTTCTAAGGGGTCTCCAATATGATAAACTTTGAAATGCATTCACACTTTGAAAAGAAATGTTGTATCATGTTACATGTTCGGATTTCAACAGTCTTCCTAAACTCTGGGTTTTAGTATTTCATTTAGACATTATTTAATGTTCATGGAAGTTCTTGCAAACAACTTTATTAGAAACTCAGTCTGACATTTTAAAATCAGAAACTAAATTGTCACATTCGGGATGTTTATTAAAAGGATACTTGTGTATTCATACATGCCTTAAGTCATCAATAGTTCACAGGAAAAGAATATCTACTCTTACACAGATGTGACATAAGTGTTTTCTTATAAATGCAAGAACTGAAAGGCTGCGAAAGAGCAGATTAAGCTTAAGAGGCCCAGAGGAGACCCCCAGTTCTGCCTCAGGATGGGAACAGCACCACCAGATGCCAAATGAAGTTAGTTTGTAGCCAGCAAGACCATAAGTGAAAGATGCTGCAGCACTGGGGAAGGGCAGGGAGGGAAGGAATACTCCAGGAGGACTGACTAGAGGAGCTGGAAACCAGGCACTGCAGCAAGCAGGCAACCACAGGGCAGGCACAGAACTGAAGACAGAAAGGTAGAGAAAGGACAACTCTGTAGCAGAAAGCACACAAGCATTGACCTGAGCAACA